CGCCCATGTATACATAGGCTATAGCCTACTCTATTTAATTGAGATCACATGTGCACCTGATCTCGCAGGTATGGCTACTGAACTGGAGGCAGCAAGAATGATGACAGCGACACTTGCTACATTTTGCATAGTCCTATAGGATATAGCCTACTATAGGCCTATAGGATATAGCCTACCTTTTAGGAGGACGATTTGCAGGCAGAGACAAATAAATGGGTAATCCATACTTATTGAACATGAAAAGGTGCAACGCTTGCTCACCATAGTAGCCTAACCTATGTGCGCGTTGTGCCTTTTCCTTTTCAGTTTGCAGGATTACCACAGTTATAGGCAGCAAGCCAGAACCCAACCACAGACTTGAATCCAGCCAGCACTAGGACCCACAGTAAACACAACAAAAGGCACAAAACTGGCCAGCATAACAACAGCAAGGAGAGAGCGGTGACTGACTCAACGCGATTAAATGCTGGGGCCCATAAAAACAGCAACGCAACGGAGGCCGTGTTAACAGTATGATAGCCAGGAGAGAAGCACATTGGAGGGGACTTAGTTTCCAGGACAGGCCGGTGGAAAGCTGGGATGGGGGCAAGCGCTACACTGGGCCACGGTAGAGTCAAGTAGGGTAAACCAAGTAGGCTAACCAAGTGGAGATCAAGTTTGGCAGTAGTCCAAAAACATCCAAGGCACAATGTCAAGTGGAAGGATGAAAGCAGCAGTAGGCAGGCGTCTGCGCAGATATTGCCCCAGTGGAGAGGAGCTTGCCCAGGTATATTACATTTACATTTTAGTCATTTAGCAGACGCTCTTATCCAGAGCGACTTACAGGAGCAATTAGGGTTAAGTGCCTTGCTCAGGGGCACATCGACAGATTTTTCACCTAGTCGGCTCGGGGATTAGAACCAGCGACCTTTCGGTTACTGGCACAACGCTCTTACCCACTAAGCTACCTGCCGTATATCCAAGTAGGCCTCAAAAGTTTCAGCAGACCTATTTTGTATGACTCCTTAAAGACTCTGTATGCAATATTGCACTATTGTCCAATGTGTTCACAGCCAAATGAAACAAAGGTAAAAGGAGACAAAATCCACAAAAAGCTTTTAGCTACAAACACTAATCAGAGAAAAAGACATGCTTGCCGCCATCTTGAAAAGAGGAGTGAGTGGTCTAGGTAATATGACTAGGAAAACACCTTTGCTGCTAGACAATTAATGAAAATGTATTTGAAAACCAATAGAACATGAGAGCGCATATGAGGCAGTCTTTATAAAATAATTGCCTCCATGTTTCTATGGTGGGATTTTGGCAATAGACTACTTTGAAGCAAGGTAAGACATGCCTCATAATATGAAGTAAAATGTCCAGGTTTCAAACAATTAAGGAACAGGAAAAATATGATAATGATACGCCTAACCGTCTTCTCATAGATGGAAAGTCTTTCCCAAAAACCTTTTCAATTAAATGTTAACTAGCTACAAATTAGCCTAATGCATCCCTGGCAGAATTATGTGATTATTTGCATCAATCCAGGTGCCTGCACATTTGAATTAAAGGGTAACTACACTAAAAAATCTGAATTTCTTAGGTTTTTCCCAGACCTCAAAAGTGGTCTCCTGATGTGGTTTAAGCATTGTTGTGAACATCCCATTTTGCACTCAGAAACCTGTGAATTTCTGACTCAGTTGACAGTCTCATTTATCTATTTCAATAATAGGCCTACTATTAGCCTACTTTCACAGTACAGCTTGGGTTGGCCTGACTGTGAAAGACCAATATGGGATTTATCATTTTAGGTCATTCAGAGTGTATGTTACACTTTGTCATATAATTTTTCACACAGGGTGCCTTTCCCTCGCCTGGTTGGCCGTTTGGAATTTTTGTCAAAATTTGAGTATACCCAATGCCAACAGCCGATAAACCCCACAGAAGAAGAGGCGGGGGTGACAATGCCGGTAGCTAGCTAGGACAGCGGTAGACATTGTCCTTCGCCCCCACCTGTCGGGCAGTGTTTTCCCGCAATTCTGTTGACGGCGAGGGCAGGTGTTCAGCAGGCGTTAGCGAAGGACACTGGGTGCTAGCTATCTAGTAGCTAGATAACTAGGCCTCCGGTACACAGTAGGCGAGATAGGTAGCTAGTTAGCTAACGATAGCTAGGACATCGGTAGACAGTGTCCATCGCCCCCACTTGTCAGGCACTGTTTTTCAGCAGTTCTGTTAATGACGGTGAGGGCAAGTGTTCGGCAAGCGGGAGCGAAGGACACTGTGTGCTAGCTAGCTAGCTAGCTAGTTAGTTAAGAGGATTCCGGTACACAGCAGGTGGGGGCGACACCGCTAGCTAGCTAAACAGTGTCCTTCACCCCCGAAAAGCTCAGATAATACTTTTGCCTTTTGACTCACATTTGAATCACATAGACAATCAGTGGAAATCCAGAATATCAAAAGTGTCCCACAAGCATGAAGATGGCATTCATGCAGGAACCAATGGGATGCGTTCCTGCAGCTGCAGGAATGCCCCAAATTGTGGGCCGCAGTCACACACTATTGGCAGGTTTGCATGGGCGGGAGTTTCGGCATTCCATGGTGACATCACCATGCTGCAAATTGGTTAATAGACCAATAACAAAGAGAATTCCAAAGCACTGCCAATAACAGCTAGTTTTCCCTCCCCACTCAGACAGTTCTAGCAAAAATTCTTGCTTGAGCAATTTTTCCCAATTGAATGGAACTATATTACAGTAAAGTACTTAATTGTTACCCAGAAATGATTTGATAGTTCTGCCCACAAATTTTCTATAGGATTGAGGTCAGGGCTTTGTGATGGCCACTCCGATACCTTGACTTTGTTGTCCTTAAGCCATTTTGCCACAACTTTGGAAGTATGCTTGGGGTCATTGTCCATTTTTCCTCCAAACATAATGATGGTCATTATGGCCAAACAGTTATATTTTTGTTCAATTTCTCCAAAAAGTCCATCTTTGTCCCCATGTGCAGTTGCAAACCGAAGTCTGGTTTTGGAGCAGTGGCTTCGTCCTTGCTGAGCGGCCTTTGAGGTTATGTCGATATAGGACTTGTTTTACTGTGGATATAAATACTTTTGTACCTGTTTCTTCCAGCATCTTCACAAGGTCATGTGCTGTTGTTCTGGGATTGATTTGCACTTTTCGCACCAAAGTACGTTCATCTCTAGGAGACAGAACGCGTCTCCTTCCTGAGCGGTATGACGGCTGCGTGGTCCCATGGTGTTTATACTTGCGTACTATTGTTTGTACAGATGAACGTGGTACCTTCAGGTGTTTGGAAATTGCTCCCAAGGATGAACCAGACTTGTGGAGGTCTACAATTTCTTTTCAGAGGTCTTGGCTGATTTATTTTGATTTTCCCATGATGTCAAGCAAAGAGGCACTGAGTTTCAAGGTAGGCCTTGAAATACATCCACAGGTCCACCTCCAATTGACTCAAATTATGTCAATTAGCCTATCAGAAGCTTCTAAAGCAATGACATCAATGCAATGGAATGGAATTGTGATACAGTGAATTATAAGTTAAATAATCTGTCTGTAAACAATTGTTGGAAAAATTACTTGTGTCAAGCACAAAGTAGATGTCCTAACCGACTTGCCAAAACTATAGTTTGTTAACAAGAAATTTGTGGCGTGGTTGAAAAACGAGTTTTAATGACTCCAACCTAAGTGTATGTAAACTTCCGACTTCAACTGTACACTTACCCTTGTTCACACTGCAGGTCTTAATGCTCAAATCAGTTTTGGTTTTCAAATCCATTTTGCAATACTGACTGTCCAAACAGCAAGTTACAAGTGACCAAATCGGATGTGCGTGTGTTCAGATAGCAGTCATTTGCTGACATGGCTATGCTAGTTGTCATAGTAATGACAGGTGTGCGCACAGTGGTGTAGGCTGATTGGTGGTGGTGCTTGTGCTTCCTATCACTCAGACGTTATGTAGCAAGATAGGGTGACATCAATGCCTGCTATGGACGTTTCCCAGTTGCTTTGAATGTTTAAAATCATAGTGTAAGAACACTAAGCCTCAAAAGGATAAGATGATCCAACTTAAGTTAGTTTGACAAGAACGTGGTAGCTTTCAGAGTAGCTAGCAAGCAACAAGATATGCCAAATAAGTCTATAAACCACTTGAGGGCAAATAAATCTGATTTGACCGTTCAGACTAGTTGCATGGCCAGGAATCAGATTTGTATCAGACTTCAAACCACCTACGAAGGTGGTTTGAAATGTGGCTTGAAATATCCAAATTCCATGTGGCTTTTGGCTGTTAAGATTCAAATCGGATACGAGTCACATTAGACTGCCAGTGTGAACAAGGCTTCAGACCATTCCTCCATACAGAATCTTTCCAGATCCTTTGTCTGCGCTTATGGAATGCCTTTAATTCAAACCGTAGGTTTTCAATGGGATTCAAGTCTGGAGACTGAGATGGCCATTGCAAAATGTTGATTGTGTTCAATTAAACATTTTTGATTTGTGCTTGGGGTTATTGTCTTGCTGGAAGATTCACTTGTAGGCAAGTTTCAGCCTCCTGGCAGAGGCAACCATGTTTTGGGCTAAAATGTCCTGGGTATAGTTCATGATACCATTGACCTTAACAAGGGCCCCAGGACCAGTGGAAGCAAAACAGCCCCATAACAAAAGATCCACCACCATATTTTACAGTAGGTATGGGGTTATTTTCTGCATATGCATCCTTATTTCGACACCAAACCCATCAATGTTGTGCGTGGCAAAAGAACACAATTTTAATGTAATCTGACCATAGAATTGGTTTCAATCCAAGTGCCGTTTATCAAACTCCAGGAGTTTACATTTGTTGGATGACATGAAAATAGAGCTCTATGGACCACATCCACACCAGCTGCCGAACCCCTAATAATAAACGCCAACAAATGTAATCGGGTTTCACCCAGCGTCACTGCTTGAACCCCTAATGATAAGTTGTTCATTCCAGAATTTTGATTGTATTACATCACTTTTTATTTCAATTTTGATAGTAGCACAATTTATCACAGTACAGATGGTGCAACAGAAAAACGGAGCTTCTTATGTCCGTTTCAGGTTTTTAAATAAACAGTGAGTGACACTGTCAGTAAAATCATATCAGGATGGTCTTCAGGAAAACAACAAACATGATTCTGAGGTTAGGTCCCAAATGACACCCTATATAGTGCACTTCTTTTGACAGGGCCCATAAGCACTATAAAAAACGGGAACAGGGTGCCATTTGGGATGCACCCTAATTCAGCATTTTGATTCCCAGACTTTCTAGGCCAGTTTAAGCAGCTCTGTAACCATTACACCCACCCCATCAAACACCTCGTGTATGGGAGCGTTACACATGAAGGCGGAGGTGGTGACCAGCTTGTTCTTTACGTCGATGTGGACCTCCCCCACGTTCTTATTCACGTGTTTACAGCCCAGCTCAGTCATGGCGGTCGCCGTCTGGGCATACGGCCATCTAGTGGTGGGAGGGAGGAGAGCAGCAGGGGTTAAAAACACACACTCTTATGTTCAAACAGAGACATATACACACGCACCGTCTCTCTCGCACACACACCACTGACACTGTAACCCACCTCTCACACTCCTTGTCCTGTCCCACAGTGATTTCACACCCTGGCAGAGCCCTAGCAGCTAGGACAGGGGAGATGCAGCACATAGCCAGGGGCTTGCCTACTCCGTGGAAACCCTTAATCAGCTCCTCTACCTGGGGCTGAACTGTGTACTCCTTCCCCTTCACAGCCCAGTCAGACAGGTTCTTAGCCACACCAAAACCACCTGCAGGACAACAGTTTGGTTGAGTTGAGCACAGTGTAGAGCAGTGGAAACTAGCCCTGGTCCTAGAGAGGTAAAAGGTGAGTAAGGATTGTGGTTGTATGCTGATGATAATGGAAGAATGATAGTGATGGAGTACATAATGATGAAGGAGTAACACTTACCTGGGATGACGAGGGCGTCGAAAGCGGTGATGTCCAGTTTGGTAAGGTCTGACACGTCACCGCGGGCGATGCGAGCGCTCTCCTGCAGGACGTTGCGTTTCTCCGCCGTGGGTTTCCCCTCGCAGTGGTTCACCACATGCATCTGATCCACGTTGGGGGCAAACATCTGGACCTGGGGTGATGAGGGGTTAGACAGTCAATACTGTACATCTGCACCTGCAGTACAGGACAGGCCAGGAGGAGATCCTCCATAGTAGTGTCCATGCTAATGAGATTGGAACCTGCATTCCCAACGACAAGCACTCTGAACAATCAGGGGGAAGACTACGATTAGAAGTAAAAGAAACAGTCATATAGAGACATATTGACAACATGTAAATCAATGCAAACTCTGCACCACTTCCTAGACTAGAGGAAGTCTGAAGTTGTCACAGGAATCTGACTATAGAGTGGGAATGTACAGTCAGAAGGATAGCGTGAGAAGCGAGAGTTTTGAACTAAACGTGTAACGTTAAAAAGAGTCCTTACCTTAGCTCCAGCCCTGCTGAGGTGGACCAGCACAGCAGATGCCTCGTGGATCTCTGTCCCATCATAGACCCCACACCCTGACAGAACTACAGCTATACACTTCACCATGGCTCCTGCAACAGACAGACAATAATTATAGTATGGAGACAGTGATGCACAACAAGCAGTTAGATTAAACTGAATTCTAGACTGTACCCGTCACAAAGCACCTATTGTTTTCTCATCAATACACATCACATGGCATGTCGGGTAGTGCATCAGGTAGTGTCAGGTTAGGTACACAACATTGTGTCCCAAATGGCACACTATTCCCAATATAGTGCACTACTTTTGATCAGAGCCCTGGTTAATAGTAGTGCACAACATAGGAAATAGGGTGCCATTTGGGACAACCAAGACAGGTGAGCATGAGGTGCGAATGACTTGCCAGCAGCAGAATCTATTAAACATTTAAAGGCCTGGGGCCTCATTTATCAACTGTGCATAAATTGCTTACTAAATTCTGCCCTATGTGAAGAGTCTAGGATTTTCATGTGCAACAAATTGGGATTTATCAAACTGTGGCAAGCAATATATACACGCATATCCATGTTGTGAGTGATACAACCCCGCCCTCCAGTCACCTTTCATGGTAACAAAAACACACATTTGCTGTATGATTTAGAGATATTGGAACTGGGCCATGATAGTTTCTAAAAGAAAGCGCAATAGCACATTTGATCACATTTCTGTAGGGGTGTGGGCAGAATGTTTTAACCTATAGCGAGTGCCAAATGGAAAAACACTGGCCTCCTGAGTATCCCCACACCACTGTGTCTCTAAAGGACTGTGTCCAGGCAACACAACAATGCCTCTAGTCAACAACACCTGGTACAGGTAGAGAGAGCCAGGAGGGTAGAAAAGCTCAGATGTCCATTGTAGCTCAGTTGGTAGAACAGGCGCTTGCAACACCAGGGTTGTGGGTTCGATTCCCACGGGGGTCCATCATGACAAAAGTATGATCATGTATGCACTCATTATTGTAAGTCAGTCTAGATAAGAGCATCTGCTAAATTACGTAAATGTAGATAGGCCTACAACAGGTTAGGATAATTTATGCAGCAGGTTAGGAGAATTAGGTCAAGGGTTAGCTAAAATTGTCTAATAGGACTCGAACATATCTAGTTACAAGCAGGTCTGCCCAGACAACAGCCTTGGTTTCCACTGTTGCTAACGCAGCACGTGTAAAAGAAACGGAAACCCACAGAAAGTGGCCTGTTCTTCTGGCAAAACGTACCCGTCTCGTCGCAAGTCTTTAGCTAATTGACATGTTGACTTTTGGAATCTCCAACAGCAGAGATGAGTTCTAAAACTGCATAAAACCGTCGTCTCGGCTGTTAGATGTGAACTGGCCATAAAACTACAATGTTCACCTGGCATCACATATCCACAACTAAATACGCAGCTATTGAGTGACATAACCAACTCTAAATAAAACATTAACGCTAAACTGTTTACGTAGGCTACATAGATACAGTATTAATTGATAGACAACGTTATTCTCACCTTGTAATAGCGCGATGTTCTGTATCCGTCTTCCTGTTCAATGAAACTAGAACGCTGCTGTGTTTATATCATCCTGCTGTGGCCCCTCCCATGGAGCTGTAGTGAGCTCATGGAGGCAGCTTTGAGTAATGCTGGGAGGGAAAAGGGAAACATGCCTTACTGCCCCTCTCTGTTACATTTTTGTGCTCTGTTCAAAATCTGCTAAGTCACTCGACATCTCTCAGAATCAGACACTGGATGGATGGTGTCAGTGTGTCAATATTGATGGAGATACTGTATGTATACTGAACAAAAATATAAACGTAACATATAAAGTGTGGTCCTCTGTAGCTCAGCTGTTAGTGCACGGCGCTTGTAACGCCAGGGTAGTGGGTTCGATCCCCGGGACCACCCATACACAAAGATGTATGCACGCATGACTGTAAGTCGCTTTGGATAAAAGCGTCTGCTAAGTGGCATATTATAAGTGTTGGTTTCATGAGCTGAAATAAAAGATACCAGAAATTGTCTATGAGCACAAAAAGCTTATTTCTCTCAACTTTTGTGTACATATTTGTTTACATCGTTTTAGTGAGCATTTATCCTTTGCCAAGATAATCCATCCACCTGACAGGTATGGCATATCAAGAAGCTGATTAAACTGCATGATCATTACACAGGTGCACCTTGTGCTGGGGACAGTAAAAGGCCACTCTAAAATGTGCAGTTTTGTCACACAACAGGATGCTACAGATGTCTCAAGTTTTGAGGGAGTGTGCAATTGGCATGCTGAGTACAGGAATGTCCACCAGAGCTGTTGCCAGATAATTGAATGTTCATTTCTCTACCATAAGTCACCACCAACTTCGTTTTAGAGAATTTAGCAGTAGGTCCAACAGGCCTCGAAACCGCAGACCACGTGTAACCACGCCAGCCCAGGACCTCCACATCTGGCTTCTTCACCTAGGGGATCATCTGAGACCAGCCACCCGGACAGCTGATGAAACTGTGGGTTTGCACAACCGAATAATTTCTGTACAAACTGTCAGAAACCGTCTCAGGGAAGCTCATCTGCGTGCTCGTCGTCCAAACCAGGGTCTTGAACTGACTGCAGTTCGGCATCGTAACCAACTTCAGTGGGCAAATGCTTACCTTCGATGGCCACTGGCACACTGAAGAAGTGTGCTCTTCATGGATGAATCCACAGGCCACAATCCACAGCATGATCAACTCTATGCGAAGGAGATGTGTCGTGCTGCATGAGGCAAATTGTTAAACCAGACACTGAATGGTTTTCTGAACCACGCCCATACCTTTTTTTCTAAAGGTATCTGTGACCAACATATGCATATCTGTATTCCCAGTCATGTGAAATCCATAGATTAGGGCCTAATGAATTTATTTAAATTGACTGATTTCCTTATATGAACTGTAACTCAGTAAAATTTGAAATTTTTGCATGTTGCGTTTATATTTTTGTTCAGTGTTTTAGAGAAATAAGCTTTTTGTGCGTATTGACAATTTCTGGGACTTTTTATTTCAGCTCATGAAAAATGGGACCAACACTTTACATGTTGCGTTTTATATTTTTGTTCAGTATACAATCTGTAAATTGTCTTACCTGCTACACTGGAAGCATAACTTTTGGTCAGGGCGAGCAGTAAGCAAACCACGCCCAGGTTACGCTCACGCCCAGGTTTCTTTTAAATGCATAGGTATGTCTCACACTCTGCAAAAGTTACGCGTACAATGCAGCGTAATTGTTTAATTAAATGACGGACAAGTTATGATGCCATTTCTGCATGTAAACAATTAGTTTCACATTTTCGGGCAAGTGACCCTAATCTTTGGGCAACCAAAAATACTGTAGACTTACATTTAACAGACGCTCTTATCCAGAGCGATTTACAGTTAGTGAATGCATACATGTTGTTGTTTTTTCATACTGGGCCCCCGTGGGAAACGAACCCACATTCCTGCCGGCCAAACCCTCCCCTACCTTGGACGACGCTGGACCAATTGTGCACCGCCCATGGGTCTCCCGGTCGCGGCCGGCTGTTACAGAGCCTGGACTCGAACCAGGATCTCTAGTGGCACAGCTAGCACTGTGATGCAGTGCCTTAGACCACTGCGCCACTCGGGAGACTTGCCCAATTGGCCAGTGCCTTTCAGGCCTTAATACCAGAGTGTGTGTGTGTATGTGTGTTTCTCACAGGTGAATGTCTAATTGTATCAACCCCACATTGATTTCTTTATCATTTTATTTCTTTAATATTTGTTACATTTGACTGTGTGAAACCTAGTACAACTACTTATTTCTATGTAGCTCAGTTGGTAGAGCATGGCGCTTGCAACGCCAGGGTTGTGGGTTCATTTCCCATGGGGGGCCAGTATGAAAATGTATACACTCATTAACTGTAAGTCGCTCTGGATAAGAGCATCTGCTAAATGATGTAATATAGCATTTTGCAAAAAAAACATGATTATTTGTCTCTCTGAAATGAATTAGATAGTGAAAAAAACGCACCAATCTCTTTCATAATTTCTTCAAACAATAAAAGCTAATTTACCAACATTTCTGAAAATGGATATATAGAGTTTTGGACTGAACTCTTCAATTGCATTGTTTACAAACAATAGAGAAAAACAAGCATAGATTTTTTATTTTTTAAAAAAAAAAATTATTTCACCTTTATTTAACCAGGTAAGCCAGTTGAGAACAGGTTCTCATTTACAACTGCGACCTGGCCAAGATAAAGCAAAGTAGTGCAATAAAAACAACACAGAGTTACATATGGGGTAAAAAAAAAACATAAAGTCAGAAATACAACAGAAAATATATATACAGTGTGTGCAAATGTAGCAAGTTATGGAGGTAAGGCAATAAATAGGCTATAGTGCAGAATAATTACAATAGTATTAACACTGGAATGCTAGATGTGCAAGAGATTATGTGCAAATAGAGATACTGGGGTGCAAAAGAGCAAAATAAATAACAATATAGGGATGAGGTAGTTGGGTGGGCTAATTTCAGATGGGCTGTGTACAGGTGCAGTGATCGGTAAGGTGCTCTGACAACTGATGCTTAAAGTTATTGAGGGAGATAAGAGTCTCCAGCTTCAGAGATTTTTGCAATTCGTTCCAGTCATTGGCAGCAGAGAACTGGAAGGAATGGCGGCCAAAGGAGGTGTTGGCTTTGGGAATGACCAGAGAGATATACCTGCTGGAGCGCAGACTACGGGTGGGTGCTGCTATGGTGACCAATGAGCTAAGATAAGGCGGGGATTTGCCTAGCAGTGATTTATAGATGGCCTGGAGCCAGTGGGTTTGACGACGAACATGTAGTGAGGACCAGCCAACAAGAGCGTACAGGTCACAGTGGTGGGTAGTGTATGGGGCTTTGGAGACAAAACGGATGGCACTGTGATAGACTACATCCAATTTGCTGAGTAGAGTGTTGGAGGCTATTTTGTAAATGACATCGCCGAAGTCAAGGATCGGTAGGATAGTCAGTTTTACGAGGGCATGTTTGGCAGCATGAGTGAAGGAGGCTTTGTTGCGAAATAGGAAGCCGATTCTAGATTTAACTTTGGATTGGAGATTCTTTATGTGAGTCTGGAAGTTGAGTTTACAGTCTAACCAGACACCTAGATATTTGTAGTTGTCCACATACTCTAGGTCAGACCCGTCGAGAGTGGTGATTCTAATCGGGTGGGCGGGTGCTAGCAGCGTTCGATTGAAAAGCATGCATTTAGTTTTACTAGTGTTTAAGAGCAGTTGAAGGCTACTGAAGGATTGTTGTATGGCATTGAAGCTCGTTTGGAGGTTTGTTAACACAGTGTCCAATGAAGGGCCAGATGTATACAAAATGGTGTCGTCTGCGTAGAGGTGGATCTGAGAGTCACCAGCAGCAAGAGCGACATCATTGATATACACGGAGAAAAGTGTCGGCCCAAGAATTGAACCCTGTGGCACCCCCATAGAGACTGCCATAGGTCCAGACAACAGGCCCTCCGATTTGACACACTGAACTCTGTCTGAGAAGTAGTTGGTGAACCAGGCGAGGCAGTCATTTGAGAAACCAAGGCTATTTAGTCTGCCAATAAGAATGCGGTGGTTGACAGAGTCGAAAGCCTTGGCCAGGTCGATGAAGACGGCTGCACAGTACTGTCTATTATCAATCGCGGTTATAATATCGTTTAGGACCTTGAGCGTGGCTGAAGTGCACCCGTGACCAGCTCGGAAACCGGATTGCATAGCGGAGAAGGTACGGTGGTATTCGAAATGGTCGATGATCTGTTTGTTAACTTGGCTTTCGAATACTTTCGAAAGGCAGGGCAGGATGGATATAGGTCTGTAGCAGTTTGGATCTAGAGTGTCACCCCCTTTGAAGAGGGGGATGACCGCGGCAGCTTTCAATCTCTGGGGATCTCAGACGTTATGAAAGAGAGGTTGAACAGACTAGTAATAGGGGTTGCGACAATTTCGGCGGCTAGTTTTAGAAAGAAAGGGTCCAGATTGTCTAGCCCAGCTGATTTGTAGGGGTCCAGATTTTGCAGCGCTTTCAAAACATCAGCTGTCTGAATTTGTGTGAAGGAGAAGCGGGGGGGGGGCATGGGCAAGTTGCAGCAGAGGGTTCAGAGTTGGTGGCCGGGTTAGTGGTAGCCAGATGGAAAGCATGGCCAGCTGTAGCAAAATGCTTGTTGAAATTCTCGATTATTGTAGATTTATCGGTGGTGATAGTGTTTCCTAGCCTCAGTGCAGTGGGCAGCTGGGAGGAAGTGCTCTTATTCTCCATGGACTTTACAGTGTCCCAAAACTTTTTGGAGTTAGTGCTACAGGATGCAAATTTCTGTTTGAAAAAGTTAGCCTTTGCTTTCCTGACTGCTTGTGTATATTGGTTCCTAACTTCCCTGAAAAGTTGCATATCGCGGGGGCTATTTGATGCTAATGCTGTACGCCACAGGATGTTTTTGTGCTGGTCAAGGGCAGTCAAGTCTGAGGAGAACCAGGGGCTATATCGGTTCTTAGTTCTGTATTTTTTGAATGGGGCATGTCTATTTAAGATTGAGAGGAAATTACTTTTAAGGAACAACCAGGCATCCTCTACTGACGGAATGAGATCTATATCCATCCAGGATACCTGGGCCAGGTCAATTAGGAAGGCCTCCTCGCTAAAGTGTTTTAGGGAGCGTTTGACAGTGATGAGGGGTGGTCGTTTGACCGCGGACCCGTTACGGACGCAGGCAATAAGGCAGGGATCGCTGAGATCCTGGTTGAAGACAGCTGAGGTGTATTTAGAGGGTATGTTAGTCAGGATGATATCTATGAGGGTACCCATGTTTACGGATTTAGGGTTATACCTGGTAGGTTCGTTGATAATTTGCGTGAGGTTGAGGGCATCTAGCTTGGATTGTAGGATGGCTGGGGTATTAAGCATATCCCAATTTAGGTCACCAAGCAGTACAAACTCTGAGGATAAATGGGGGGCAATCAATTCACATATGGTGTCCAGGGCACAGCTGGGGGCTGAGGGGGGTCTGTAGCAAGCGGCAACAGTGAGAGACTTATTTCTGGAAAGGTGGATTTTTAGAAGTAGAAGCTCAAACTGTTTGGGCACAGACCTGGATAGTATGATGGAGCTCTGCAGGCTATCTCTACAGTAGATTGCAACTCCACCCCCTTTGGCAGTTCTATCTAGACGGAAAATGTTATAGTTGGGGATGGAAATTGATGGGGTTACAGTTTAATTAAACGCATAAAACATTTATAAGTTTGCCAAAATTCCTGAAGAATCTATGGCTATATATCATTAATTTAAAAGTCCAAAAATGGATGTAGCAATCGCAGATTGCCCCTTTAAAAGACTATAACAAAAAAAGGTGTCCATGGGCAATTTCTGTAATTTCAGATTTTCATAATTTTCACATAGATAAGAAGCTAGCTTTGACATTTCGGTTTATTCAATGCATGTCCAACATCAGGCTACAAGATAGGCGTGTACCGATATGTGTATCCATGAGTGTACAACATTGGAAAAATACAACTCCTTTCACTAGGCAGAACTTCCTGAATAGTTCTGACAAAAAGGATCTGTTGTTGTACCGATGTGTGTATCCATGAGTGTACGACATTGGAAAATTAAACTCCTTTCACGAGGCATTGGAAAATACAACTCCTTTCACGAGGCAGAACTTCCTGAATAGTTATGACAAAAAGGATCTGTTGTTGTCCTGGTGTTGTTGATGAGGTAACTTTCCCAACTATCCTGTGGTGTTGTCCTTTAACAGGAAGAGAGTGACGTAAGAAAGTGGCAATTTATTTATGACCTCAGAGCGCTCAGTGGCGCGTGCATCAGAAGATCTGGTGATGGCTGAGCTGGAGTCGCTGCATTTCTCCGTGGGCATCCTCGGGATCTCGGGCGGTAGGTCGAAGTGAAAATTCTGATTTCTGACTGATCATTTCTATTTCCAATACTTTTTATATAGCCTTAAACCGTCTAAAGAAGTAGGTCTGTATTGCGATATATTATTGAGTTTCTTGAGCTATGAGAAGTTGATCATAAAACAATACCTAGCATTGAAAACCGACTATTGATGACTTCATAATACTTAATTGATCGACAATCGAAGCATATTTGATACAAAAAAAAGGAGTGGGAAGTTTTATTTGTTGTTATTTTTCAGTTTTATTTGGATTATCCTAATATGTCTTATATAAAATATTGTGATCACACATTTATTTGTGAAGGTTTATATAGTCGCTGTCTGATGAACTCAATTTTTTGCCAATGTACATTTTTGTACATTTATTTAAAGAAGTAACTCCCCTCAATGTACTCTGAACATTTCATGACTCTAGGACCAAGAACAATTATTCAAAATAGCTTCTTGAAGTTTAAAAATGGTATGTTTGTTAATGGGAAAATATGGTACTTTTTAAATATTTCCTGAAATGTTTCTGTTTTGGAAATACGAGGATTTCATCACACAGCTATGATATTATATGTATTATAGTATACATGAATGTAGGCAATTAATTAATTCACTTTTTTATTTATTTGGTTGTTTCACAAAATGGCTGAATGAGAGAAGTGAGCAAAGGTGGCACAACAGGATGCAGAGTGGGCTTTTTTTTTTATTCTGATGGTAACCAGGTCAAACTACTGAACCTAGTTGTAGCAGGGACCTTAAGAGTTGTCCTATTGCCTGGGGCAAGTAAAATAGCATTTGGAAAGTTGAGCTTGCTCTAAAGTTGACCCAGGTGATTAAAAAAAACCCTGAAAACAACAAAACTGTAAAGAATTCCAGTAAACCTAAAACTGAGCTTTCTGGTTATTCCACATTGTTTAAGTAAGAGATGGACAATTTATGGCATTTCTGGCAGCCGGGCAAGTTGAGCCTGCTCTGGGGATGCCGCATTAGGCAGGTGATTAATAAAACAACAATAACTGATCAGCAAATAATTAATTCCAGTAGACTAACATAGGACTAGGAGCTATACTGGGGACTGGCAAAAGCAGTATATTTTCTTACCTACTACACTGGAAGTGTAACTTTGGGTCAAAGTGAGCAGAGTGCAAACCACGCCCAGGTTTCTCTGAAATAAATAGGAGAAGAGGCGTAGTCCGCTCATCCCACTAGATTGTATTTTTAGCATTTAAAATGAATTTCCTGCATTTTAAAGGCCCAATGCAGCTGTAAAAAAAAAGGTGCTTATCTCAATATCAAATAATCTCTGGGTAACAATTAAGTCCCTTACTGTAATAGTTTTCCATTAAAGGGGTCAAAAATAAACAAAAATAGTTATTTTTTGCAAAAAACTATTCTCATGCAAAAATGTTGTGGGGAGTGGAAGGGCAACAAAGTTGTGCATTAACCACAGTGTGGATCAATCCACCAGAGAAGAAGAGGCTAATGGGAGGGAAATGTAGCCTAACCTGAAAACTAGTTGTTATTAGCAGAGAGGTTTGGAACTGGTCTATTAACGTATACCGCAACTCCACCCATGCTAAACCTGCTGATTAAGACATCCTGTGTTGATTGTATTTTCAAACAGCAACTATCAGGAAATAACAGCTGAGATGATCAGCTGTTGTACAATATGATACAACATTTGATTTGCTACTGAATTTTGACTGCACTGGGCCTTTTACAAGGTTTTCCATTACTCATGGCCTCTCTGGAAGGTTTGTAGAAATACACTGAACAAAAATATAAATGCAACATGCAACAATTTCAAAGATTTTACTGAGTTACAGTTAATATAAGGAAATCAGTCAATTTAAATAAGTTAATTAGGCCCTAATTTATGGATGTCACATGACTGGGAATACAGATACACTACATGACCAAAAGTACAGTATTTGGACACGTGCTCGTTGAACATCTTATTCCAAAATCATGGGCATCAATATAGAGTTGGTCCCCTCTTTCCTGCTATAACAGCCTCCACTCTTCTGGGAAGGCTTTGCCATCGATAAAATGCAATTGTGTTCGTTGTCCATAGCTTATGCCTGCCCATACCACCTTCCACCATGGGGTACTCTGTTCACAACGTTGACATCAGCAAACCGCTCGCTCACACAAAACCATACACGCTGTCTGAAATTCTTCGGTTGTGAAAACCCACAGTTTCATCAGCTGTCCGGGTGGCTGGTTTCAGATTATCCTGCTGGAGAAGAAGCCGGATGTGGAGGTCCTGGGGTGGCATTGTTACATGTGGTCTGCGGTTGTGAGGCCGGTGGGACGTACTGCCAAATTCTCTAAAATGACGTTGGAGGCAGCTCTGGTTGACATTCCTGCAGTCAGCATGCCAATTGCATGCTCCCTCAAAACATGAGATATATGTGGCATTGTGTTGTGTGACAATCCCTGTGTAGGGTATGACATAGTGAGTAATCAGTTTATTTGGGATATGATGGGACCAGAATTTTTCTAACCAGGTCAGATAGTATAAAAAAAAACTCCTGGAAAAACTCCTGGACCTAGGGAGGGTGAAAACTCTGTCTGAAGCAACCATGTACTTGTTCATATGTATTCTATTTTATAACTAGACTAACAGGGGTTTCCGTTACACAGACACAGAGACAACTGCTATTAGACAATAGAACTAACAGGGCTGAGCTTGCTTTATGCAGGGTTGCATCATAGGCCTATATGCATATGTAATTAAAAGATTACAGGTGCATTAACACAGTTTAGCCTATGTCATCACTATTTGTTGATTTAATTATTCCAGTCAATAATTTTCAATTGAAAAGGCCTAGGTAGCCTAGCCAACCGAAGTTTGAATGCAATACAACGCCCGCGCATGTAGTCGGACCGGAACTCGACCATAGGCTACTAATTGTGCGCCCATTGACGAATCATGAGGCAACACGTTTGCCCCTTGACCCTGGATGTGAGTGAAAGTGGTCTGGTGTGTCAGTCAAGTTGCAGTTCAGAAACTTTGCCAATAGAGGGTGAATATGGAGCTGTGTTCATTGGTTCCTGTCAAACAATATACTTTTTGGTGAGTCGGTCTGGTCTAAAGCCTGCTGTGTTTTTAACTTGTGTTTTTTCTGTTGGTTTCTCCTGCAGGTTCTCTGCTGCTGCTGGTGAATAACTATGGCAGCACTCCTGACAAAGACTTCATCCCCCATACTGCACTGGGGGTGCTGCTGCTCATCATCGCTGCCCTGCTGGCATACTCTGGTAGCCTACCTACTGTTTATAACTTATACAAATTCTAACCCTACTCTGGTACCCTTTTTTACTGCATAAAGAGTTGACTGTGATAGCCTACTTAAAACTGCAATATCTAACTTTTTGGGTGACACGACCAAATTCACATAGAAATGTGAGTTATAGACCTGTCATTCTCATTTCTATGCTTCCCTTTCTTAAGTTTCGTTGTTGCGTTCTTTACTTTCGGTTTTGTACACCAGCTTCAAACAGCTGAAATACAATATATTGAAAATATATTTCACAGCGGTTTAGATGGTACAATGATTCTCTACATTGCTTGTTCTGTCACATAAACTAAAATTAGGCGAACTATTAGAATTTTAGCAACCAGGAAATGGCGGAGCACCTTTAACTATACTAACATTTGTACTATGGCGTGCATTCATGATTTCATTGTATTGACTGTATGTTTGAACGTAGTATCAGTCAGAGATAAACAATTGTTTTTCCCTCCCTCCCTCCCTCCCTCCCTCCCTCCCTCCCACCAGGTGTGCGTCGCAGCCTGTCCCAGTCCCAGTTGTTCTCCAGTGTGTGTCTGACCGTGTCAGCCATGTGGTGTGGGTCTGGACTGGTCTACCTGCTCGTTGGGGAGGGGGTGGTGGGGGCTACAGAGCTGAGGTCCTCTTTGGTCCCTGGCCTAGCAGCCTTCACCCTGGCCTTCCTCATGCTGGCTACAGTATCTGTCCTCCAGAGAGAGGTGTGATCTATTAGATCTATCTATTGATAGATTAATTTGTATTTTAAGCTTAATTACTAAAGGATTTCACCCCAAATACAGTATAAAATGTTAAACAGTGTTAGAATTAGAATGTAGTGTCAACTAACCCACTAACAGAGGGATCTATCTATCTATCTATCTATCTATCTATCTATCTATCTATCTATCTATCTATCTATCTATCTATCTATCTATCTATCTATCTATCTATCTATCTATCTATATATCTATCTATCTATCTATCTATCTATCTATCTATCTATCTATCTATCTATCTATCTATCTATCTATCTATCTATCTATCTATCTATCTATCAATTTGAAAGGGGTTGATAATTGACTAGAAGACACATTTTACATTGTTTGCTGTAACGTATGGAAAATAAAGTTGTATTGTATTGTTGTATTGTAGGTGGTCCTGTTAATCATCTCCCTGTCTATCAGCCTGGCCTGTGGGCACCAGATTGCCGGCCTCTCCTCCCCGGGGTTCGGCCAGTCTGCCACGGCCGCCTGCTATCTGCTGGTCACCCTGGTGGGGGCGTATTTTGGCTGTGGTCGCCTGCTCTCCTTTATCACCCAGGGAAGGGTGGAGGCTCCTGGGACAGGGCTGAGGAGAAGGGCAGAGTGTCATGGGTCAGGGGTCAGAGCTCCAGAGGACTGTAACGACGTGGGGCCTGTAGGCCTGGTGATGAATCTGCTGTCTGCTAGTGTGTTAGCCTGCCCCCTACTGGCTGTGGTTCCTCAGCTCGCTCCGGGTCACGTCCCCTGGCTTTGGACGGCTGCTGTATTCCAGCTGGTGGTGTGTGTCCTCTCCTACAGATCCATGGACTCCCTGACCGCCACCTTCTACGGCTTCACCTCCATCCTGCACTTCGCTGAGGGCTACATCGCTCTCCTCACAGCCTTCTCCATCCACCCCTCCTCCCCTATCCCCTTTCCCGTCGTCTTTGCTGTTCTATTCTTCATCCTGGCTCTGTTCAGCTGTCAGAAGAGTCTAGCTGAGGGTCTCTACCAGCTGTTCTACGTAGCGTATACTATCGCCCTCGCAGCCCAGCCCTCACGCTCCTTCCAGTCTGGGGCGCAGGGCGTCCAGGCGGCCATCTTTATTGTGTCAACCGTGATGTTACTGGTCACCTCCTATAACAACGTCTCGGCCAATAGGATTCCTACAGGGGAGGGCGTGTTCAAGGCCCTGGTGACGCGTGTCAGCGGCCTGACTCTCCGCCCCCATGACAGACACAGCCACGCTCCCTACCTTGGCTACTCCAGGTATGCTGACGCAGAGGTGTTAGGTCACGCCTGCTCCGTCCTCGCTGTCTTCTCCATCACGGCGTCCACGGGGGACCGGGCCCCGCTGGGCGTGCTGGTCCTGCCCTGGGCCGTGGTGGCAGGCGGCGTCCTCCAGCTGCTGGTCGGCTCCGTGGCTTTCTCCCGTGGTAAGACCCTAACCCTGGAGGTTTCACACAAGATTAACACATTCCATTTTCAATTTGAATGTTGTATTTAGGAACTAGTAAAAATGCACTCTATCCAAACAAGCTTTTCAGGTGTTTGTGAAAGCGAAGATTAGGTTGTAGAATGCATTTTTTATGTGTTACAATTTGTAATGATTGTATATCCAACATTTAACGTGTACATTTCCGGTAGGTAAGACCCTTGAGAGCATGGCGTTCATCCTGTACGGTGTCATGTGGTCCATCTGGGGGCTGACACGGTACGGCAGGCTCTATGGGGACACACAGGGATTCAACCTGGCTGTGGGTATCATCAGCTTCCTGTTGTTCAACAGTCTGGTGACGGTAGGAGCACTATTCCTGAACGTAGCCTGGGTTGTCTATGCCGCAACCTTTCACCTCATTATCATCTCCTTCCTCCTGGACGCCATGGGAGCACTGCCTTATGGGTATGACATCGGGGTGTCAATCGTGTTTGGCCTGATGTCATTCTACTGTTTCCTGTCTGGTCTGTTCAGCCTGACCTTCCTGACCCCCCAGTTGCCCCTGGGACGGGCGTTAGTCAGGCTGAGTGGGATGGGAGAAGGAGGGAGGGACACCTGTCTTCATGTCCCCGCACGCAAGGCCACCGCCGTCCACCAGATAGCAGGTGAAACATAAGGGGGCGCCTAACCTGGGCTCCATCCCAAAAGGCACCCTTTTTTCTATATAGTGCACTTATTTTGACCAGGGCCTGTAGGGCTCTGGTCAAAAGTAGTGCTTTATGTTATAGGTGCCACTTGAGACAAAGAACTGGTCACCAACTGTGCTCCTGGTGAAATACTGTGGGTGCAGGGTTTTGCTTCATTCCAGTACTAACACACCTGATTCAAAGTCCTGGTGAGCAGAATGCAGGGTCTCAGTGCTGGGCTGAAACAGCAAATCTGCACACCCAGTAGCTCTTTGGAACCATGACAACCATTGGTGTAGTCTAGTGCATCATTCTCATTAAAACACTACGAATAACAGGCTGTATGTGTATATATGTGTGTGTGTATGTGTGTGTGTGTGTGCGTGTTGAGGCTGACAGGACCACTTCATCGCAAGTTCTTTAGGTCTTTAGTTAGTTGGGTTATTGATGTGTCTCAACCCAACTCTCCCTATCCCTCTGTGTCTCCAGAGATCATGAAGAGTGGAGGTATATGTGGGATGCCCACTGACACGGTCTATGTGCTGGTGGCAGCTTGTAACAGACCGGATGCTGTGGAGAAGGCCTACAAGTGAGTTACAATTACACTGCATACTAGGTTATTATACGTACATTGTAGAAGATAATTTCATCAGATTAAATGAATAAACTTTGTACTCACAATGCTTCATAGTGGTAGGCTGGTCCCAGATCTATTTTAGTTGTCTTGCCATCTCCTCTGTCACAACCAAGACAGTTCAAACAGATCTGGGACCAGGCTATCATAGTGCATTTAAACAAACTATTCTCCTTGTCTCTCCCTGTGTGCTGCAGGTGTAAGCAGCATGTTGTTGATGACACTCAACTACTTTTCTCCTTCCCCCTTCTGACATCCAGGTGGCGACACGCATCTCTGCGTGCCTGGCAGATATCGCAACTTGCATGTCGGCCAACCACCTCAAGCTCAAACTCGACAAGACGGAACAGCTTTTCCTCCCGGGGAAGGCCTGCCCACTCAAAGACCTCTCCATCACGGTTGACAACTACACAGTGTCGCCCTCCCAGAGTGCAAAGAACCTTGGCGTGATCAAATCAAATTGTATTTGCCACGTGCCAAATACAACAGGTGTAGACATTACAGTGAAAGGCTTACTAACAAGCCCTTAACCAACAATGCAGTTTTTAAAAGAAAAATGTAAAATATAAAAGTATTAATTAAGAAAAAAAAAAAATAAAAGCAAATAGCTAAAGAGCTATTTGTTGGACAACACCCTGTCGTTCTCTGCAAACATCAAAGCAGTGACCCGCTCCAGCAGATTCATGCTCTACAACATCTGTAGAGTAAGACCCTACCTCACACAGGAAGTGGCGCAGGTCCTAATCCAGGCACTTGTCCTCTCCCGTCTGGACAACTGCAACGCACTGTTGGCTGGGCTCCACACTTGTGCCATCAAACCCCTGCAACTTATCCAGAACACTGCAGCCCACCTGGTTTTCAACATTCCCAAGTTCTCTCATGTCACCCCGCTCCTACGCACACTCCACTGTCTTCCAGTTGAAGCTCACATCCACTACAAGACCATGGTCCTTACCTACGGAACAGCAAGAGGAACTGCCCCTCCCTACCTTCAGGCTATGCTCAAACCCTACACCCCAACCCGAGCACTCCGTTCTGCCACCTCAGGTCTCTTGGCCCTCCCACCCCCCAGGTCCCGCTCAGCCCAGTCCAAGCTCTTTTCGGTCCTCCCACAATGCCCATCTTCCGAAAACATCTGAAACCTTCAAACAGTATCTAAAATAATCCTCCTCCTCACATTGACCGCTTACCCCCCTTCTAGCTCTGACTACTGATAGCTACGTTATTGAGGAACAATGTACTTTCTACGACTGTGATATGTGGTTGTCCCACCTAACTATCTTAAGATGATTGCACTAACTGTAAGTCGCTCTGGATAAGAGTGTCTGCTAAATTACCAAAATGTAAATAACCTATTCTACCTGTCTCTCCCTGTGTGCTGCATGTGTGAGCATCATGTTAATAACCTGTTCTACCTGTCTCTCCCTGTGCAGGTGTAAGCAGCAGGCTCAGGACCGACCCATGTCTCTGTGGGTGTCCTCTATAAACCAGTTAGAACCGGTCAGATCCCTGCTGTCTGCCCTGCTCTGGGACTTCATGAGCGCAGCATGGCCCTCCTCTATCAGCATGGTCATAGCCAGGGGTGGGTTATTAACACTGTGTGTGTGTGTGTGTCTGTGTGTGTATGTGTGTGCATGTGTTTTTTGTGTATGTAGTGTAGTGTATGTGAGTTATTATGATGAGTTCTTCCTGTCTTCCCCCACCAGGTCCGTGGATGGAGATGTTTGGTCTGGGGGAATCAGCTAAACACATCGGAACCCCTCAGAGCATTGCTATCAGGAACCCAAACTGTGCTGTGGCTACTCATCTTATCAACCTGGTGCGAGCCCTAACCCTGACCCCTGACCTCTATCCCTAACCCTGACCCAAACCCCTGACCTTTAATCCTAACCCTGACCCTGACTGTGCTGTAGCAACACACCTCATTAACCTGGTATGATCACGGATTAATTACAAAAGCATCCACACCCTGTAGCTTTCTGGGACCAGGGTTGTAGTACATATATACTACATACAGTATACAGTATCTAAATGGATGCTTGCCATCATTGCCAGATAATATTATTTTCTTATTTCTGTCCTGTAGGTGGGTCCCATTGCTGTGACGTCAGCCAACCCCACAGGAGAAGCAGACACCACACACCACAACCAGGTGTATGCCAAGCTGGGAGACAAGGTGAAATAGACACACAGACATATCATAGTTCAGTTGAGTCAAAACTACATTTGGAAATGTAAAATAAATATTGTGATTGTCTCTCACTCACTCACTCAGTCACTCACTCACTGTCTGTGTGTCTGTCTGTCTGTATGTGTGTCTGTGTGTCCGTCTGTCCATCCGTCTGTCTAGGTGGATGGTGTGTTGTGTGATGGCCCGTCCCCAGAGAACATCGCCTCCACTGTGGTTGACTGCACCAAGATAGACAGTGGTCATATTGGATTCTTTCGAGTGGGTCTCATTCCCAAGTCTCAGGTAAACACAAGGACGCTAACATGGCAAGAACCTAAAAACTGACACCAACCTGAAGCACCGACCGTTAACATGATAAGACTTGACATGACAGGAACACCACCTCAAGCTCATGTACTGTATGTAATGTATGTTGTGGTGTGTGCGTGTGAGTGCATGTGTGTGTGTGTGTGCATGCATGCCTTTTAGGGGCCCTTGGTTGGGGGCCCCCGCCCACCCTCGCGGGCAAAACATTTTAGTGGCCCCCCTCTTGACGGCGGAGAGAAAACATTTAAGTTTGAAGTTAATTTCCTGCAATTCTACACATTTTTCCATTGGGCGAAGAGAAAATGTTGCAGTTTTAAAGCAAGTTTTCTGTAATTCTACACATTTTGCCATGGGGCGGCGAGAAAAGGTTGCAATTTTATAACTAATTTCCTGCAATTCTACTCGTTTTGCCATGGGGTGGAGAGACAAATGTGCAGTTTTACAGCTATTTCCCTGCAATTCTATACATTTTGCCATGACTTATGCCATGTTAATGTGATATCTGAGTGAGAGCGACTAACAAAATCAATGGGGGCCCTCTGGAGGTTAGGCCGCTGGGAATGTGCACTTCGTGCCCGGTCGGTAATTGGGCCATGATTACTACAAGTTTAGATAGCTGGGTAGACTAATTTACCAATCTAAAAATGGTTTGCTGACATGGGCTAATTGAGTTACTGTCAGTGGCTGACATAACAAGAGGAAAACTGCTGATGCACAAACACATTTCAAAATTGCACCTTGTGTATTCTAGTATTCTAAATTGAGACCCAAAAAGTATTTATTTGGGGGGGTCGTGGGCCCCCTAGCGGCGACCGCCTGTGTCGCTTATGCCCTGGGCCGGCCCTGCGTGCATTTGTCCTGTACAATGTCTGTAATGTTATGTGTGTTTCTCTACCAGGTGCTCCAGATCTTTGAGGAGGTCCAGAAGAGGCACTCTCACGGTCAGATTAATCCAGGGTTTGAAGCAGACCTCACAGAGCCTGATCCTAACCCTAACCTCACAGACCCTCAGAGAAACACAGATGAAGACAACACAGAGTCTACAGAGTCCTCAACTGTTCCTCCACCCACCCAGTCTCCTGCCTACATAGACACCTCTACACTAGCAACACAACCATGAGACTGCCCTAGCTACAGCTAGTCTGGCTAACATCTCCTCCTGACTCCAGAGTCTGGAAAGGCTTGATGCGTTGATAATGAAGGAGATGGCAGCATCCTACACTGGTTGGATATCCCTTTTTCTTTTTTTTCTTTTTTCTTGTGTGTTTTTGTTCTACCTTATGTTATTTTTTAGTGCTGCATTGATATTGATTACTGAATTGTTGGGTTTGGAGCTTGCAAGAAAGGCATTTCACTGTATTTGTGCACTTGACATTAAAGGTTTAAACTTTTTTTATTTCATTTATCCTTTATTTAACTAGGCAAGTCAGTTAAGAAAAAAATATGATTTACAATGACGGCCTACACCGGCCAAACCCGGACGACGGTGGGCCAATTGTGCGCCGCCCTATGGGACTCTCAATCACGGCCGGTTGTGATACAGCCTGGAATCGAACCAGGGGGTCTGTAGTGACGCCTCAAGCACTGAGATGCAGTGCCTTAGACCGCTGCGCCACTCGGGAGCCCACTCAGGAAACTTGAAACTTGAAACTTGAGTGACAGTCACTCTCACGGGATGGGTTGCAAAACATAACTAACTGAAAGCCACACTCCCAATAAGCTATGAATATGACTGCATTGAGGTATATGTCACTGTGCTTCTATGGCTATCTGCCCCATGCCACTGCCTATTTCATTTGTTCATTTTGCAAACATGACAGCTCATAATCCAATGCCTTTACCACAGTCAACACACCTACAGTGCATTTGGAAAGTATTCAGACCCCTTCCCATTTTCCACAATTTGTTACGTTACAGCCTTATTCTAAAATGGATTAAATAAAAAATGTTCCTCTTCAATCTAAACACAATACCCCATAATGAAAAAGCGAAAACAGGTTTTTAGAAATTTTAGCAAATTTATGAAATCAAAATAAAACAGAAATACCTTATTTACATACATTTTCAGACCCTTTGCTATGAGACTCGAAATTGAGCTAAGGTGTATCTTGTTTCTATTGATCATCCTTGAGATGTTTCTACAACTTGATTGGAGTCCACCTGTGGTAAATTCAATTGATTGGACATGATTTGGAAAGGCAAACGCCTGTCTATATAAGGTCCCACAGTTGACAGTGCATGTCAGAGCAAAAACCAAGCCATGAGGTCGAAGGAATTGTCCGTAGAGCTCCAAGACCGGATTGTGTCGAGGCACAGATCTGGGGAAGGGTACCAAAAAAATTATACAGTATTGAAGGTCCCCCAAAACACAGTGGCCTCCATCATTCTTAAATGGAAGAAGTTTGGAACCACCAAGACTCTTCCTAGAGCTGGCCGCACGGCCAAATTGAGCAATCGGGGGAGAAGGGCCTTGGTCAAGAAGTGACAAAGAACCCAATGGTCACTCTGACAGAGCTCTAGAGTTCCTCTGTGGAGATGAGAGAACCTTCCAGAAGGACAACCATCTCTGCAGCACTCCACCAATCAGGCCTTTATGATAGAGTGGCCAGAAGGAAGACACTCCTCTGTAAAAGGCACATGACAGCCCGCTTGGAGTTTGCCAAAAGGCACCTAAATGTTCACCTTCCAACTTGACAATGTCCCGAAGCACACAGCCAAGACCATGCAGGAGTGGCTTCGGGACAAGTCACTGAATGTGCTTGAGTGGCCCAGTCAGACCCCGGACTTGAAACCGATCTAACATCTCTGGAGAGACCTGAAAATAGCTGTGCAGAGACGCTCCCCATCCAACCTGACAGAGCTTGAGATGATCTGCAGAGAAGAATGGGAGAAACTCCCCAAATACAGGTGTGCCAAGCTTGTAGCTTCATACCCAAGAAGACTCAAGGCTGTAATCGCTGCCAAAGGTGCTTCAACACAGTACTGAGTAAATTTTAGTGTAAGGCTGTAATGTAACATAATGTGGAAAAAGTGAAGGTGTCTGAATACTTTCCGAATGCGCTGTATACAATACATATATTTTTCTAACAATCTCAGGTCAGTTCAAACCATCCACCCTCATCCACTTATTAACTTTTAATTAATAAACAGATTATCTTTAAAAAAAATGTTTTTTTAAGTTGCCTGGATTCTGTGGCACTTACAGTAAATGGTACAGGTTTACACACACACACACACACACACACACACACACACACACAAAGACACCCAGACCAGTGGTGGTCGGTGCCATTTAAGATTAGGGGGGACTAATTAAAAAAAAAAATAATACATTTTCCTATATTATGTTCCCCTAACCACAACACTTAGGCTTCTACTTCCAGCCTATACATACTAATTTATATAGATTTTACGGGCTGAATGTATTTTACATGTATTTTTTGTTTTTAATCCAATCCCTCACCCCCTCCCTTCTTTATCTGAAGACCATCCAGTTTTGATTTCTATTTGCCAAAACTCAGCAACACAATACACCGTAATGACAAAGCGAAAACAGGTTTTGAATTTTCTGCATATTTATAAAAAATTAAAAACAGAAATACCTTATTTACCTACAGTTGAAGTCGGAAGTTTACATACACTTAGGTTGGAGTCATTAAAACTTGTTTTTCAACCACTCCACAAATGTCTTGTTAACAAACTATAGTTTTGGCAAGTCGGTTAGGACATCTACTTTGTGCATGACACAAGTAATTTTTCCAACTATTGTTTACAGACAGATTATTTCACTGTATCACAATTCCAGTGGGTCAGAAGTTTACATACACTAAGTTGACTGTGCCTTTAAACAGCTTGGAGAATTCCAGAAAATGATGTCATGGCTTTAGAAGCTTCTGATAGGCTAATTGAAATCATTTGAGTCAATTGGAGGTGTACCTGTGAATGTATTTCAAGGCCTACCTTCAAACATCATGGGAAAATCAAAAGAAATCAGCCAAGACCTCAGTAAAATAATTGTAGACCCCCACAAGTCTTGTTCATCATTGGGAGCAATTTCCAAATGCCTGAAGGTACCACGTTCATCTGTACAAACAATAGTATGCATGCATAAACACCATGGGACCACGCAGCCGTCATACCGCTCAGGAAGGAGACGCGTTCGGTCTCCTAGAGATGAAAGTACTTTGGTGCGAAAAGTGCAAATCAATCCCAGAACAACAGCAAAGGACCTTGTGAAGATGCTGGAGGAAACCGGTATAAAAGTATCTATATCCACAGTAAAACAAGTCCTATATCGACATAACCTGAAATGACACTCAGCAAGGAAGAAGCCACTACTCCAAAACCGCCATAAAAAAGCCAGACTATGGTTTGCAACTGCACATGGGGACAAAGATCGTACTTTTTGGAGAAATGTCCTCTGGTCTGATGAAACAAAAATAGAACTGTTTGGTCATAATGACCATCATTATGTTTGGAGGAAATAGCGGGGTGCTTGCAAGCCGAAGAACACAATCCCAAACGTGAAGCACGGGGGTGGCAGCATCATGCTGTGGGGGTGCTTTGCTGCAGGAGGGACTGGTGCACTTCACAATTATGTGGATATATTGAAGCAACATCTCAAGACATCAGTCAGGAAGTTAAAGTTTGGTCGCAAATGGGTCTTCCAAATGGACAATGAACCCAATCATACTTCAAAAGTTGTGGCAAAATGGCTTAAGGACAACAAAGTCAAGGTATTGGAGTGGCCATCACAAAGCCCTGACCTCAATCCAATAGAAAATGTGTGGGCAGAACTGAAAAAGCGTGTGTGAGCAAGGAGGCCTACAAACCTGACTCAGTTACACCAGCTCTGAGGAGGAATGGGCCAAAATTCACCCAACTTATTGTGGGAAGCTTGTGGAAGGCTACCCAAAACGTTTGACCCATGTTAAACAATTTAAAGGCAATGCTACCAAATACTAATTGAGTGTATGTGAACTTCTGACCCACTGGGAATGTGATGAAATAAATAAAAGCTGAAATAAATAATTCTCCCTACTATTATTCTGACATTTCACATTCTTAAAATAAAGTGGTGATCCTAACTGACCTAAGACAGGGAATATTTACTAGGATTAAATGTCAGGAATTGTGAAAAACTGAGTTTAAATGTATTTGGCTAAGGTGTATGTAAACTTCCGACTTCAACTGTAAGCACCTGCTCCAGAGCGCTCAGGACCTCAGAATGGGGCGAAGGTTCACCTTCCAACTGGACAACAACCCTAAGCAATCAGCCAAAACAACGCAGGAGTGGCTTCGGGACAAGTCGCTGAATGTCCTTGAGTGGCCCAGCCCGAGCCCGGACTTGAACTCGATCAAACAACTCTGGAGACACCTGAAAATAGCTGTGCAGAAACGCTCCCCATCCAACCTGACAGAGCTTGAGAGGATCGGCAGAGAAGAAATGGGAGAAACTCCCCAAATACAGGTGTGCCAAGCTTGTAGCGTCATACCCAAGAAGACTCAAGGCTGTAATCGCTGCCAAAGGTGCTTCAACAAAGTACTGAGTAAAGGGTCTGAAAACTCACGTAAATATTATATCTGTATTTTTTATACATTAGCAAAAATTCTAAAAACCTGTTTTTACTTTGTCATTATGGGGTATTGAGGGGAAAAAATATTTAATCAATTTTAGAATTGGTCCTCTGTAGCTCAGCTGGTAGAGCATGGCGCTTGTAACGCCAAGGTAGTGGGTTTGATCCCTGGGACCACCCATACACAAAAAAAAAATGTATGTACGCATGACTGAGTCGCTTTGGATAAAAGCGTCTGCTAAATGGCATATTTAGAATAAAGCTGTAAGTTAACTAAATGTGAAAAGTCAAGGGGTCTGAATACTTTCCGAAGGCACTGTATATAACATCCTATAGGTTTTAAGAATTTTGTATAATAATTTAAATATAAAAATTCTAAGTTTTGAATCTGGCGTCGTTTTGTGTATCAGCTCATAAACAATGTGCCATGGAATCGGTACATCGGAAATCTCTTCCCAACTATTTTGCAATCTATATGGCACAGCTATGAATTTTTTGGTCCTTAAATTAAAAACTGGTATACTTTTTTATTTAGCACAATTTT